AAAAAAAAAAAAAAAAAAAAAAAAATCTACAATCTATCCATTTACTAGAAATTCTAACTAAGTGTTGCACAACTTTATTGAAGATGCCATTTGTCCTAACACACTTAGGACCTTCTAATAGATTCAGAAGGTCCTAGGTGTGTTCTATTAGGCTCATGACAAATTAGCCCAAATATGCTGTTCTGTGATGATTTGGCTTAATACAGGACTAAATTTTGGACTATCTAAAGTGATAGATGGATTGTATTTCCTTCATACAGTTCTCCACCAGTGTTATTTCTCACATAGGACCTTCTGAATCTCCATTTGGTGTTTTTCGAAGAAACAGTGGTCAAAACTCAACATCATATTTGCTTTTAGATGTCACAGAAGGTGGTGTCCACTATATCACTGTCTTCTCAGAAAAGCCACAATTTTTTTTTTTTTGCCCCTCTTAATAGGCTTTTATAAATCCTAAGAGGAATGTGAATTTCATTTTGTATTTTAATTTGCTTTAGCCACCAAGAAGCTCACAGCCGAATTCACAGCCTAGCTTTAGTATTTGGAAATGCTACTTATAGAATGTTTTTCTGTGCATTAATTTTCCTTTTGCTGCCATCTTATTTCAGTTTTCCCTTTACCCCTACTTATTTTTTTTACTTAACCTTGAAATTCAACCCTGACTTTAAAAATTTGTTTTCCTATTATTTTGTGTATTATAGTAAGATGTTGCAAATATTTTTTGGAACTAGGCAAATGTAAATCAATCATTAAATCAATCACACAGCAGTGGAGCTAAATGCAGCAGCTATCATACTTGATGATATTAACTATTAAGAACATCTAATTTCCTTTCCCATAGTGCCATATTCACTAAGCCACTCTCTGATTTTAATATAGTTTTCCCTGTCGACTTTTGTATAGAGAATAGAAAGAGAATGCTGGATTCCTCTAAACAATTATATTTCTCGCAATTTAACACATAAACCCAAGTACCAATCTATTGCACTGGATTACAGAAAGGCTAGAAATTCCCACCTGAAATTTAAAATTAGGATCACTGTTTCAGTTAGACATGACTTTGATGTGGTCCAAGACTAGAGGTAGAGAAGGATGGGCTGAATATTCCTAGAAATTCCATCCAGTTTATCAATTTGCATTAAAATGGCTGAAATCAAATGTCTCACAGGACCAGGAAAGGAAGCAGGGACTCAATTTTTGCCAGACCCTCCCCCCCGCCGGCCTTGTTTTTTGTTGTTGTTGTTGTTGTTGTTTGTTTTTTTGAGATAGAATCTCCCTCTGTCACCCAGGCTGGAGTACAGTGGCTCAATCTCGGCTGACTGCAAACTCCACCTTCTAGGTTCAAGCAATTCTCATGCCTCAGCCTCCTGAGTAGCTGGGATTACAGGCACACACCACCATGCCTGGCTAATTTTTGTATTTTTAATAGAGACAGGGTTTCCCCATATTGGCCAGGCTGGTCTCGAACTCCTGACCTCAAGTGATCTGCCCGCCTCGGCCTCCCAAAGTGCTGGGATTACAGGCATGAGCCACCGCACCTGGTCCAGACCTATTTTTAAGTCTGAGGTAGGCAGCAAGGCACCATGGAGAAATGTTTATTATTATCACACTCTTCTGATTAGAGCCTGAACCACAACTGGGGACTTGATTACTAGCATACAAAGATTTTTGGTAGGTTTTCTTTGTTTTTCATTTGGTTATTGTTAGTGGCAGTCCCAGAGTACCATATACACATACCCTCCCGAGGCTCAGGTTGGAACAGATGGAATTCTTGGCTTTGACCATTTCGTAGGAGTCGGGTGAGGAGGATGGGGGAAAGACTCTTTTTTTTTTAATGATCCCAACACTTTCTCTCAAATCCCTGTTATTCTAATTCTTGCCTTTTACAAGGTCATGAAGAGATGATTGGATCAAGGAAATGTCCTGACCCCAGGCTATACAGTGTAGAAGTCACAAACCCTGTTCAGTCCTTCTCATTAAACTTCTGGGCTTTATTTATTTTTTTAATACGACCATTACATATTACACAAAAATAAAAGTCAAATGAACTTGGTATTTATAAATTATTAAATAAAAATACAGGAATATAGATTTATATTTATAGAGCTTTCTTTTCTTCTAAACTAACCAAATCTGTTCTGCCGTTTTATGATTTTAAAAAAGTAAAATAGTGTATGTGTGCCCTAGAATAAGTGGGGAGTGGGATTAATAATCGCAGGACCGAGTTGCCCTACTTCCGCTCCTTCCTTGGCCTAAGCAAAGTCTCTATTTGTCCCTTTGGGCTCTGGAGAGCAAGAAACCCCTCTCCTCCTACTTAATCTTTGAAAAATGGCAATTACATTTATTTCCCTTGTTTTTTAAAAAACGAAATGGATTTAAAAATTGGGAGCCATACTCAGCCTTCTTGGCCAAGAGCTAATCCCAAGGAACTATATGGCTCTAGAAGAGAGTCCCTAGTTTTCCCTGACAGAAGAGTCTCTGGGGTTTCCCTTCAAGCTAAGAAGGGCAGGACAGGTCAAAATTGCCCACTGTGGTCCCATCTAAGCTCTGTTTCTGGGAATCCAGACCATGCCCTTTACCCTTTCAGAAAACAGCCTCTCTTTCCACCCAGGTGTCAAGACTTCAGAGCAGGGCATTTCGGTAACCTGGCCATGGTCCCTGCAGCCCCTCTTGGCTAAAGGTCCCGGGGAATGCTAACAGGGATATGCGTCCTGTGGTAGAGGGTAGGGTGAAGAGTGTGCTCCAAACCTGGGGAAGGAAGCACAGGTTCCAATTTGGAGCCGATGGTCTAGTCAGTGGTTTTCCAACATTTTTTCAGCAGCAAACCCCTAATGCAAATAAAATCTTACCCTGAACCCCGATATGTAAGACAGCTACAAGGGGAGCTAGCTGTTCAGTTTGAGGGCAAATTGCCCAGCCTGCTCAACTCCCCACCCCCTTCATCTCCCCAAGGACTCCTGAGGCAACCCCTAGGAAACTTCAGGGCTCTGCCAAGCAGTTTGAAAACCACTGGCCTAGTTTGTCCTGAGCAAGTCAGAGACCCCCCACCCCAACTGCTTGCCACAAGCTGGCTCTGAGTTTCTGGTGTCAGCATACTCACAAGACCAAGTGGCACATGCAGCCTACCACCTCCCCTAGAAATACCATTAAAAAGTGCAGCCCTCTCTCAAAAGCAGAAGTCTGGACTAAACACCTGAGGCCAATTTGGTCCCACATTCTAGCGAGCACAACTACGTTGCCACATTCTAGGACCAAGTGAAAATCTCCAAGAAGAGTCAACCATGGTCTAGCTAAGCTGATCAGTGCTCAGGACCACAGGCAGGATTCTAGAGCACTGTGTCAGAAAGTTAGCATTGGAGAGCAGCAATCTTAGCACCTTGGAAAGTGCAGCAGTGAGGTCTGGCTCAGGGCATGCAACTGGAGAGAATAATTTCTTCCTCAAAAGAAAAAGCCATAATCTGAAGCTGTTCTAGAGGACTGCGAGTTCCAAAGTTAACATCCTCAGACTCTGAGGTACAGACAAGTAACACCCATGCAAACAGTGTGGCTTCAAATCATAAATGCTTCTAGGTCATGGTAGGTACTCTAGAACCCATATGCCTGGCCCCTGATAAAGCCGAACCAAAGCCCACAACACAGCATAGGCCAGTCCTGGAGTGCCCATCACCCTCACACCCATGGGATTCAGGGCTGAAATGGTCCTCTCAAGGCATCAACAGTCTCACTGAGACACAGTGTGGGACCCAGACTGTACTCAAGATCAGCACTTATGTCCACAACCTCGAAAGGAAAATTAGTTAGGGCCCCAATTTAGAGTTTCAGTTTGGGTACAGAGGTCCCAGAGATTGGAAACACTTTAGGCACCATTGTGCCTGAGTGGGAGAGGAGGGTGGCAGGCAGGTCCAGCTCCCTAAGCCTCCACCCATCCAGGCTCAACAGCCCTGCCCTTCTATCAGAGCCCGGGAGGCAGCAGCAAGTGCATGATGCACAAGGAAGGGGGATGATGAAGGAACAAGGCCAGCTGCAGAACTGCTCTTCTCTTCAAAGCCTTGCCAATTACTTTCTGGAGAGAAGCAGCAGAGCCCTCGGTCTGGATACAATGTTTCTCTCTAAGCCTTGAGGCATCAGGACAAGGGCAGGGGAAAGGAGGGGTTGGGAGGAGGGACAGAGAACTGCCCCTAGTTCTTGCCATTGCAAGAGGGAATGTTTTCTCCTTGAGGAATCCCACCACCACCAGATTTGCCAGGCAGCCCAGCATGCACACCAGCATGCGTGCACATGCACACGTGTGTCCAAGCAGCCCACTGTTACAGCCACCTCTCCCTATCACCTGAGAACCCCCAAGCTTCCATTCCAAAAGGATGTGCCTTCTGCGTTCCCCAAATCCCACTCATCTAATGGAATACAACTGCTTATGCAAGTCCACCTTCCTCAGGGCAGCGAACCAAGTTCCAGGTCATTTCATGTGCCCACACCTATAGGTGTGATCCCTCCCACATACCCCAGCCCTGGATCGATTCCATCTCCTGCGTCCCTAAACTTGCCAAAACATTTCCCTCACCTATGTGTCCTGCTCACTCTTCCAATCGCCTACCTGGCCTACTCAGCTGCCTCACACACTACCCTTCCCCTGTCCATCCTGTTCCATGCCCACCCATCCACCAACTCCATTTCTTCCAAGGGCATTTCTCTGTTCTGTTCCTGCTCTCCTGGCCCCCAGCCACACCTAGCCCCACCTGGCCCTGGACTTTCACTTGCTAGCAAAAAAGGCCCCTACAGTTACCAGGGCCCCCAGTGCCACGGCCCCCGTCAGCACTGTCCTCACTGATGCCCAGTTCCCCTCCCGCAGACGCCGCGCCTCCTCCAGGGCCCCGTCCCCGTATAGAGCTGTGAACTCCGCCTGTGGGAGAGAAGGGAAGTAGGAGAGAAAGAAGGAGAAAGGGATATCAGGAGAGGAAAGAGTGGACAGAAGAGGAGAGGAAGAGTTCCAGTTCCATCCACTGCCAACACTACCCCATACCCAGCTCCTCTCTGGTCAAAGCTCTTCTGGCTGCAAGCCCCTCTGATCCCCCCAGGTGCACCCCCACCCTGAGAGACTGGTTCATTTGCCGCCCACTCTGCCTCCAGTGAATTCCATCCTTTCCTTGGCGAAAAATTCTGCTCAGAACTAGCATCCTTTGCCAAGGCTTGCCTGACCACCACCCATCCCTGGTCCTCCCCACCTCCCACACCATGACTCAGGTGCAAAAAGTCCCTGACAACATTCCCCTGCAGGCACTCCTTGGGTGTGGATTCTGTCCTCTGCTTGGGACCATGAGCCCATCCAGTGTTGACTGCATGGCAGCCCTGGAGTGCAGAGTCCAGGCATCTCTCAATCTGATTCCACCTAGACGGGGAGACTCAGCCCCGCACCTCATTCCCAACATAGCTGCCTCAGTCTCCAATCAGAGCTCCCATCTTCCCCCTGGAAACCAGCTTTGCAGAGGGATGTGCAGAGCAGCAATTGAGAAGCTTCTTACCCAGCCCCCACTGCTGTGGATCCAGTCAGCCAGCCGCGTCTCCAGGTAGGCCACCATCCACTCCTGCACTTGTCCCACCAGTGGTTCCATCTCCTTGTTGACACTCTCAGCACACAGTGCAGCCCCAAAGACAAAGAAGGCTACAAGGCGGCCCCAGTTGGGGCCCCCTTGGAAAAGTTCATCGGAGACCTGGGTGAAGCGTTGCTGTGCTGAGCCTGGGGTCACATGCAGCTGAGCCGCCAGATCAGAGAAGGTGCGCCGGAAGCGGGTCTCGAACTCATCTCCAGCTGCCCGCATGGCTTGGTGCAGCGGGTCAGCTGCTGGGCCCTCCCCGGGGCCAGCTCCACAGACATAACCCTTCTGCCTCAGCTTATAACCTACAAAGTCTGCCACCAGAGCCCGTGTGTCTGGGGCCGAGGCTGGGGTCGCCATCCGGGCAGCTATAAGAGGCAAGGATGAAACACTGGCATGAATATATGGAGAGAGAATCAGAAGGGGCATTTCTGGTTTGACCAACCCAGTGAGATGAGGAGGAGAGAAGAAATGCTCAGAGCTCACTGGACAGGGAGAGGCAAGAACAAGGGAATTAAGTCATGATATGAGACCAGGCTGTGAGGGGCTGGCCATTACATTCCTAATATGCCAAATTACATTTAAAACAAGTAAATTTTCTGTTTAGAGATACTTTAGATTCTTTTCATAATAAGACAACGTCAGCTCTGTGACACCCCTACAACCCTCCCACCCCCGGGCCTCCTTAGTCCACACCTCCTTGGCTAGAGGAAGGGGCTTAGGACCTCCCCAAATGCAAGATATAAAGATGTTGGCAGAGGCACAAGATGAGGGGGAGCAGATGGGCCGAAGAGAAAGGTGGGAGACGCAATGGTTTACTCCAGACAGAGAAAGGAAGGAGACACTCACCCAGCCGGGATGGCAGCTCTTAAGACACAGCACTGGTGGCAAGGAGCCCCCAGCTGGGGCCTTTCATCCTCCCGGCCAGCGTGGAGCTCTGGAAAGGGGAGGGGGAGATCAGAACCAGGAGGGGAAGGCCAGGGATCAGGTTCTGGCCTGGGAACGGCTGGGGTTGCAGCTCTGGGCCTGGGCCCCTGCCCCCAACGCTCTACCAGCTGTGTGGCCGAATCCATGTTTAATGACTGTCCTCCCGGGAAACCCAGGGCCAAGGGCTTCCTGCCGACACCATCTGTATTCGCGGTTCCCCCTAGTGCAGCCCAAAGGCCCAACTCCTCCCTTACCCCCACCTCAGCCAGTCTCCAACCCCGCCCGCCTGCCAGGTTAGGGATCTCACGGGTCAGGCCGCTGCCGGGATCCGGGCCGTTTCCTGGTGCAGGAGCTGGGAGGGAGGGAGAGAGGGAGGAAGGGAGGGAAGGAAGGAGGGAGGAGAAAGGGGGGGCAGAGGGAGGGCCCGGCGCCGGGTGATGATGGGGCCCAAAGATGCGTCCAGAGAGAGGGGCGGGGCTGGGACGCAGGCCTGCGAAGGGCCACTACTCAGGAAGAGGGAGGGCTGCTGAAGGCAGTGAAGGGCTGCCTGAGAGGGCACGGTGGGCTGGGCTGGGCTCCTGAGCCTCGAGGCTGCCCAGAGAAATATGCCGGACTTCAGGACATCTTGGGGCAAATTTAGCATTTCCAGGAGGTTTCCGATGTTCCATGCACTTGTTGAACTTTTCCAGCCCTGAATTGTGTGCCTGGAAAACAGGAGCAGTTCCCATTAAGCTGGGAACCGTCTACTAGGTGCCTTACCCTTTTGGGACTAGCAGACACTACACAGACACCAAACCTTTCCCATCTTTTCTCCAGGACCTTTAACCCAGTGTTGTCTTTGTGGGCTGGGCTTCAGCCAGGCATCAAGGAGCCAGGACTTGGATCACAAGCAGTTTCTGCCGGTACTTTTCTTTAATTCATCTTCTTTTGTAATCAGATTGATTTTAGTGGGTTTTTTTTTCTTTCTTTCTTTTCTTTTTTTTTACCCAACACAGGAACTAATTCTCATTGTGAAAAAAATCAAACAATAAAGAGGTATGGAGTAATAAAATACAGGTTCTCAAACACACACACACATACACACCCAATTCCACTTCCCTCCCTGCAGGTTGCCATTGTTAAGCTTGATGTTTATCCTTCCAGATTACATATATATGGGGCTATTATTTATACATGGCAGTATATTTATACAAGGCGGGTCACAGGTGTGAAGCAATCTGACCACAGCTGATCCACATGACAGCACTCACAGCCAGCCCCCTGGGCTCTTGGATCTGGCACTTTCTTCAGCTCCATTTAAAAAGCAACCCAACCAAAGGCCAGAAAGAGGCCACCCAGTTCTCCTCTTCTGCTAGTACCCTTTGCTTCTAACCAAGCCTCTGTATTACCATCTGCCCTTATGGTCACTTGAGAAGTAAGGTCTTTTCTGCAGCAATAATAGTAACAACTAGCTGGGTTTGGTGGCTCACACCTGTAATCCCAACACTTTGGGAGGCCAAGGCAGGTGGATCACTTGAGACCAGGAGTTTGAGACCAGCCTGACCAACATGGCAAAACCCCATCTCTACTAAAAATACAAAAATTAGCCAGCCTGTAATCCCAGCTGCTCAGGAGGCTGAGGCATGAGAATCGCTTGAAACCAGGAGGCTGAGATCATGCCACTGCACTCCAGACTGGGTGATAGAACGAGACTCTATCTCAAAAAAAAAAAAAAAAAGTAAAAACATATTTTGAGGAGTTATTAGATGCTGTGCTTTTTTTACATGTATATTTTATCCTGTCACTAATCCTTATGCTGTTTTATCCTCATTCTATGAATGAGGAAATTGAGGTTTGGAGAGGTTAAGTGATTTGCCCAAAGACATATACTGATATGCAAGAAGCTAGGACTCCCATCTCATGCTGTAACTTTGACACTATTGCTTCAAGATCACTTCTTGCCTTCGCATAGTCAATACTGTTTTCATAGTCTGAATCCACACTATTTACATGTCCACACTCAATTCTCTCCTCTATTCTAAACACACAGCCTATTACACTCCTTTATGGCTGTATCCTTTCAGCCAATCTTATTTCCTTTTTGTTCTTAGCCTGATCATTCTGGCTGCCACCAGCAAGCTTGCCCCCTTTAGAGAATAACCTACTCCAAGTCTTCATTTGCACTCCTGGTTGGTTTGTTTGTTTGTGAGACAGGGGTCTCATTCCACGGCCTAAACTGGAGTGCAGTGGTACAATCAGTGTTGACTTCAGCTTCCACCATCTAGGCTCAGGCAATCTTCCTACCTCAGTGTCCCCAGTAGCTGGGACTAGAGGTGTGCTGCACTATGCTTAGCTAAATTCATTTTTTATAGAGATGGGGATCTCATTATGTTGCCCAGGCTGATCTCAAACTCCTGGGTCAGCTTGCTTGTAATACAAAGTAACGTATGATTTATTATACGTTAATTCATATATATAATATACATATTATATTGTGTATATATACAATATATACATTGTATATTTTGTATCATATATAATGATATGAAGAGAATACATCCATGCATTCTATATATGTATAAAATAAAAAAGTCAATATTGCTTTAAAAATGAGTCCTAGTTAAGTAGTATTGCTGCAGTCAATACTAGTGTGAATACATGTAAACAGGAATGAGTTGTATAATAATAAGATAACGTGTGTCTTATGGTTTATTTTCAACTTAGTCACTTGTGGTTTTACAGTTAAACTATCCTGCTGCTTTAAAGTTAGAGACTTCATTTCTACCCTAAGATTCCCTCTTTTAACACTCTGAGAATGTTACCTATTATTGTTAAATGTTTTAATCTTATATAACCAAGTGTATAAGAACGTGAACTCTAGAGCTAAACTGTTTAGGTCCTGATCCCACCTCCCCAATTATTAACTATGTAACCCTGAGCAAGAGTCCTCTCCCCTACCTCAATTTTCTCATCTTTAAACTAGGCATAATAGTCTCTATTCCTCTGATAGTTGTATTACATGGGTTAGTATTTGCAAAACCCTTACAACAGTACCTAGCACATTAAGTGCTATATAAGATCAGTAGGAAAGTTAGAAAAAAAAAAAACTAAAAACACTTCCCTTTTTTTTTCCACTAATGTAAAAAAAAAAAAAAAAAAAAGAAAGAAAGAAAAAGAAAGAAAGAAAGAAAGGGGGAAAAAGCCAGGTCTGTCCTTCTTGGAAGCTCCCAGTAGTTGGGAATTCCACAGTCCCAACTCCAAGAGAGTTGTTGAGTGCTTGTTCATTCAATAATTTGAATGCCTACCATATACTAAAACACCATGAATCAGACAAAGCCCCTGCCCTCAAAGGGCTTACACTTGGGTTAGAAATCAGAACTCCACCACTTTTTCATAGACGAGAACACTGAGTTCAGAGTATGGTGTGGTGGCTCATGCCTGTAATCCTAGCAATTTGGGAGGCCAAGGCGGGCAGATCACCTGACATCAGGAGTTCGAGACAAGCCTGGCCAACATGCCGAAACCCCGTGTCTACTAAAAATACAAAAATTAGGCAGGCATGGTGGCAGACACCTGTAATCCCAGTTACTCAGGAGGCTGAGGTAGGAGAATCACTTGAACCCGGGAGGCAGAGGTTGCAGTGAGCCAAGATCATGACACTGCACTCCAGCCTGGGCGACAGAGTGAGACTCCATCTCACACACACACACACACACACACACACGAACACTGAGTCCAGAGAAGTTACCAGAGAAGTTATGCCTTGTTTGCTCAAGGTCACTAGAAGCTAGGTCTTCCCGCAGTTCTCAGTTCGGGTGCCACATTCTCACCTTCTATTTGAAAGACTCTACCTAGCTTTCATGACCTTTCCTTCTTTGCACCCACCATCACCCTCTGCCCAAACCAGGAGCCTAGGTTTCAGAAAACAGTGAACCCCAAAGATAAAGTCACATGCTGGACGTTTTGAACCTTCCCCTGCAAGAAAATGAAAGGTTATTTTATTCTTCCCAGCGTTAACCTTTCCTATGCTATGCCGGAAAGGTTGAGGACTTTTTACATTTTATTATTATTATTATTGTAGAGATTAGGGGGTCTCACTATGTAGCCCAGGCTGAGTCTTGAACTCCTGGCTTCAAGCAATCCTCCCACCTTGGCCTCCCAAAGTGCTGGGATTAGAGGGGTGAGACACCGCGTCCGGCCCGTGAGTGTTTTTTTAAAAAGGTTGAGTGGCCTCACTCGGGACCGAAAAGGTGGAGTCCCCGCCCCCGGTGCAGCAGCGAAGACAAACGGAGCCACCTGTGAGAGGGCTGTGGGCGGGGGGACCCGGGCCGTGAGGGCCTTGGAACCGGAGGGTGAGTGCCGTTGAGCGCACGCTCAGAGCAGACCGCTAGCAGGAGGCAGGATGTGATAGTCTAAGACCCTGGAAGCTGACGGCCAGAGGGAGGGAAAGGTGGTCACAGAGGAGAGGCAAAGCAACGGGAGGTGGAGGATCCTGGAGGTGACTGCAAGGAGAGAACGCAGTGGCGAGGGGCTGCAGAAGCGGACCCAGCGACTTCTGCGCCGACGCGGTGCAGGCAGGAGAGAGGAAGAGAGGGGAGCGCGGTGGCGCTGCGGGCTGGCCC